TTAGTTTATGCAAATTATATTAAAATGAAATACCTGCTAAAATTGTGTGGCTTTAGGCCTGTAGATTCTAAGCCTGGTTATACCTCAGAATCACTGAGGAATCTTCAAAACAGAGAAATGGGGGCCAGTGCTGTGGCGTAGCGGGTAAAGTCACCGCCTGCATTGCAGGCATCCATTACGGGTGCCAGTTTGAGTCCCGCTGCTCCACTTCCGATCCAGTTCTCTGCTATGGCCTCGGAAAGCAGCGGAAGATGGCCCAAGTCCTTGGGCCCCTGAACCCATGTGGGAGACCTGGAGGAAGCTCCTGGCTCCTGGCTTTGGAAAGGCACAGCTCCGGCCATTGCGGCCAACTGGGGAGTGAACCAGTGGATGGAAGACCTCTCTCTCTCTGCCTTTCCTTCTCTCTGTGTAACTCTGACTTTCAAATAAATAAATAAATCTTTAAAAAAAAACCAGAGAAATGAAAAACAATTCCTAGATACCAACTCAGGTTTTTACCTTATAGATGTTATAGTATAAGGAATCTAGATAGGTCGGCGCCGCGGCTCACTAGCCTAATCCTCTGCTTGTGGCGCCAGCACCCCGGGTTCTAGTCCTGGTTGGGGCACCAGATTCTGTCTGGGTTGCTCCTCTTCCAGTCCAGCTCTCTGCTGTGGCCCGGGAAGGCAGTGGAGGATGGCCCAAGTGCTTGGGCCCTGCACCCGTGTGGGAGACCAGCAGAAGCACCTGGCTCCTGGCTTTGGATCAACGCAGTGTGCTGGCCGCAGCGGCCATTGGAGGGTGAACCAATGGAAAAGGAAGACCTTTCTCTCTGTCTCTCTCTCTCACTGTCCACTCTGCCTGTCCAAAAAAAAAAAAAAAAAAAGAAAAAAGAAAAAAGAAAAAAGAAAAAAAAGAGTCCAGAGAGAACGCAGATAAATGAAAAAATAAAAAATAAAAGACCGAAAACAAACACCCTGTTATCTCAAGGACTCTGGCAGCTTATAAAACTGAATTGCAGAGAGAATAATTATCTGAAGTGCTGTGCAAATAGTGCTCAAGTCTAGTGAAGGCAAAGTGTCATTTTCTGGCTGCCAACCCAATGAAGTCTTTAAAGAGTATTTCTAGCATTCAAACCTAAAAGTTTATTTTTTACAGTGTTGGTATCTAATTAGTAAGTTCCTTTTTAGTAAACTAAGTATGATGGAACCAAGTTTAAACATAAAGTGAAATCCAGATTGGAATATGAATGGAATGTGGATGTTTCCACAAACACACAGAGAGGCCGCGTCATGAATGCTAACGACTGGCACAGTACTCAGTAACTGCTGGGAATCGGCTTTTTAAAGAGGTTCCCACATAGCAGCTGCTGGGAATACTGTTTGCTTGTACTGACCTTGGCTGGGAAAAGCAAATGGAAAACTCAGTCTCCACAGACAGTATGCTTTCCTCCCTTATAGCTTATTTATTTTTAAAGATGCATTTATTTATTTGAGAGGCAGAGCTACAGACAGAGAGGTAGAGACAGAGAGAAAGGAAGTCTTTCATCCGCTGGGTCACTCCCCAGGTGACCACAACAGCCGGAGATGGGCTGATCTGAAGCTAGGAGCCAGGAGCCTCTTTTGGTCTCCTGCATGGGTACTGTGGGGAAATTAGGCACAGGAGGCAATTCAAAGATAGTGGCTGAAGGGAAATTAGGCACACGTGGCAATTCAAAGATGGCGCCCAAAGGAAGTAAGGTGGGTGGTGCCCAAAGCTGTTTACCACCAAAGCTGATTGGCCACGCGGCATCAGGGGAGGTAACAACTGATGATGAGTGTACAGACATATGGCTGGTCCTGTAAAAAGTCACCCTGTAAAATGACCTTTTAAGTAATTGGTTGGTCCTTAAGCCCTGCCCCAGTAATCATGTGGTCTTGTGCTTTAAAAGGCTTTGCCATGTGCCAATAAACGGAGTTCTTGCTTGCTTGACTAGACTCCCCGCTGCGTCTGATTGTCTCCGGGATCGGGAGGCTGGGGAACAGGCGAGTGGCGCACTTACCTTTCTTCGGACCCAGTCCATCCTCGTTCGGGTGGGCTAAGACCCAGCAGGTACAGGGGCCCAAGCACTTGGACCTTCTTCTAATGCTTTTCCAGGCCATTGGCAAGGAGCTGGATCTGAAGTGGAGCAGATGGGACTTGAACCAGCACCCAAATGGGATGCCAGAGCTGCAGGTGGAGGCTTCACCTCCTATGCCACAGTGCCCACCCCTTATTTTTTATTTGAAAGGCAGAGAAACAAAGACAGACAGAGACTGTCCATCTGATGACTCACTACCCAAATTTCTGCCGAAAGCCAGGGCTGGGCCAAGTCAAAGCCAGGAAGAAGGAACTGAGTCTGGGTCTCCGCGTGGGTGATGTGAGTCATATCTGCTGCTTCCTAGGGGGTGCATGAGCAGGAAGCTGGACAGGAGGGAGAGCAGGGACTTGGACCCAGGGAATCTGATACAGGATGCAGGCGTCGCAAGCAGTGTCTGAGTGCTGCACCCAACGCTTGTCCCTCCCCTAAATCTTCCATTTCCTTCTTTTCAGCCTTACTCTTTGCTCCCTCGATGTGCTGAATGGCAGACATCTGGGAAACCACGGAGGAGACACACAGAGGAAGGCCTCTGAGTATGGAGGAAAGAAATGAGAGCAGGATGCTCCAGCTCTCTAATCTGCACCTCCCTGATTCTGCAGATGACAGAGCCTGACTGTGGGAGACCACAGTGACTGGCTTCACGCAGGGTCCCTGCAAATGCACAGTGGGTTGTCAGCTAAGGTCCCGACTGCTTGAGGCTTAACACGTCTCCCGTGGAGTGCTGGTGGATCCCCCAATGGCTCAACACCCACAAAATGCACTGCTAGGCCTCAGTCTATAGCCAGGCAGACTCAGGACAAGTTCCCAAGTGTTAAAGAGTACCCAGCGGAGTCAAAAAACCTGAAGAAATACTCAGGAACTATTTGTCATCAATGGCTTGGGCTTTCCAGAAATTCTTCTCTCGCACCAATGTTGCATGGGAGGTGTCATACCAAGAAGTATTTTAATTCCCAGGTCTCAGGCTTTCTATTTTAAAAAGGAAATGAGGGGGCTGGTGCTGTGGCGTAGTGGGTAAAGCTGTCACCTCCAGTGCCAGCATCCCATATGGGTGCTGGTTCCCGTCCTGGCTGCTCCACTTCTGATCCAGCTCTCTGCTATGGCCTGCGAAAGCAGTAGAAGATGGCTCAAGTCCTTGGGCCCCTGCACCCGTGTGGGAGACTCAGAGGAAGCTCCTGGCTTCTCTTCCGACTGGCACAGCTCTGGCTGTTGTGGTCATTTGGGGAGTGAACCAGTGGATGAAAGAACTTTCTATTTGCTCTCCTTCTCTCTCTGTATAACTCTTTCAAATAAGTAAATCGTAAAAAAAAAAAAAAAAAAAAGGAAATGAGTATCTTTCAGCAAATTACTTATCCTCTGATCCTCTGTGCCTTACTTTTCTCATCTGAGAAATGAACCAAACATTTATAACTCACAGGAAAAGTAAATGAATCACTCATGTTTCTTAGACCGTTGTCTGGTACATAGCAGACACTAGCATTAGCTATGACAATTATTAATTCTCAAAAAGGGTGAATTTTGTGAAAAACACCATAACCAGAAGAATATGGTCTGTATGACTTCATTTATGTGGAATTCTAGAAAGTGCAAATGAATCTGCAGTGACAGGAGCAGAAGGGTGGGTGCCAGGAGCTGAGAGCTAAATACGGGTGTGTGGGGGGGTGGAGATTAACTGCAGAGTGGCAAGAGAGAACCTGTGCGTGTTCCTTCACACTCAGTCCGTGACAACTGTCACAGATATGTGGCCCCCCCCCCATCATTTCTCTGGCAGACGCTAAGTGTGGGTCTCCTGTAATTGAGGTCAGTTCTCGCACCATCTACCTAGGAGGCACAAGTTGGCTCAGTCCCAAGAGATGGCCCTCCTCCCTCACTCCAGATGCCAATCAAAAGGAGTAGGTCACCCACACTTTCTGCCCATCTTGTTTAGAAATACAAGGTTACCACAACCTCCCTTTTGGGTTTGATACATTTGCTGGTTTGTTACAAAAATAAAGGACAGGATAAAGAATACACTTGAATTGTCAGGAGGAAGAAACACACAGGCAAAGACTGGAAGGGCACTGGGAGTAGAGCTCCTTCCTGCCCTGTGGACTTGGGCTGTGCTATCCTCCCGAACCCCGCAGCTCTGTGATTTTCTATGGGCACCTCATCACACAGGCTCAACCCCGGGCTCTCTCTTCCTCCTGGAGGTTGGGGCATGGGTGCCAAGAGCCCACCAAGAGTCCCCTCATTAGGACAAAAGTTCTCGTATCACCCAGGCAACTCTGAGAGGTGAGGAACTGGGATCAAAGACCAAACAGGAGAACCAAAGATCCTCCTAGCACAACCATTCAGAAAAGACAAAAGTTTCAGGAGCTCTGTGCCTGGAACCTGGGACAGGGACCAAGAAAAATACACATGGAAGTGCTTCAGCAAATCCATGGAAAACAGAATTAAAGATAAGCTTATCTTGAAATCCATGCAGACAAGTTGTCTTCCAAAAGTTCATGAAAAAACATGTTACGAAAAAAATCTACGCATGGATTTCTTCCTCTATCACAGGATCACAGGGGAGCGCAAGAGAGGTCTTAAATCTCGAAGACACAGGTGGTTACAACAGGCCTACCCTTTTTGCAAAAACTTAACAGGGATGTGGTTTATAGCTTGGACAGCAGCCTGCTCCCAGTCTCCCTGCCAAAACAGATGTATGGGGATGTGAATTCTAGGAGGTAGGTTAAATAAGGAGTGAACTTATGGATTTAAAATCTTTTACAGCAACTTGGTCTACAGGCAGGAAAAGTACAATGAAATACCGCTTCTCTTCCCCCTTAAGCCCGCAAAGCTGACTGGCTCCATTCAGCACTCGGCACCCCGGGGAGGGTCCATGCGTTCCGGGTAGGGGGAGCGAGCCCGGCCCGGGCACTACCTGCGTTGAACTCGGGGTCGTCCTCCAGGACAGCCACGGCTTCTTCCACCGCGTCCACGGCGCTGCCGCCCGCCTTGAGCACTGCGTAGCCCTCGCTGGCCGCCTTGACGATCCCCTGGCGCACTCGCTCTTTCCGCTCCTTGGAGATGTTGCCGGCGCCGCCGCCGTGGACCACGACCACGGGGTTCATGGCCACGGAGCCTGGACGTCGGCAAGAACAACGCGTCACTCCCAGAGGGTCAGGCGATCTTCGCGGGCCGGAGACTCCCGGGGAAAACGCCCAAGGCCCCGGCGCAGGGGCGTCTCGGCTGGGACCCTGCCCCCCAAAGCCCAGGGCGCGCCCCCGGGGGCACCCGCCGGCCCGGCGATGGTGGGGGCGCTCCGGGACTCTGCTCAGCCTCCCGGGGTCACCGCAGCGACCCCCGTGCTACACCCGGTGCCCCCAGGGCAGGTTTCCCGCTCGGGCTCCCGCCAAGGGTCCCGGGCGGCTCAAGGGCAGGACCCCGGCGGCACCCCACCTCGGGGTCTCAAGCCCCTTGTCCCGAAAGGGATGGAGAAGCGAGTGTTTCCCCCTTCTCTTCGGTCGCCATCCCTGTCCCCTCCGTCCGGCGGCTGCTCGGCAGGGTCGCCGACTTACCTAGGGCTCTGCCGGAGGCGCACGCCGCGGCCGCAGGCTGGGCCGAGCGCCCGCGCAGCCTCCGTGCAGCCGGCGCTGCGAAACCGCTGCGGGGCAAACCGCTCGCCGCGCAACGGCTCCGCGCCTGCGCTCGAGGGCGGGCCCGCCGGGTCGCGGCGAATCTCTGGGTCTGAGGCCGGGTCGGGTCTCACACCTCGGGAGGGCTCTGTACCGCCCGCTTCTTAAGTGCAGGCCAGGAGAGTGCAGCTCTCGAGAGCTTCCTGGTGGCACGGAGGGGACCTGGCGTCTGCGGTTGGTGGTGTGCGCCAAGGTTGTGTAATCGCAGCCTGGGAATCATTGCAATCCCTTCTTTGCCCAAGAGGTGGCAGGCTGGTGTATTATTAAATCTTTTTTAGAAAGATTGATTTATTTGAGAGGCAGAATTAGAGAGAGAGAGGAGAGACAGATCTTAAATCAGTTGGTTCAGTCCGCAAATGGCTGTAGGGACTAACTGCGGCTGGGCCAGGCAGGGGCCAGGAATGACTTCTGGGTCTCTGACATAGGTGGCAGGGGCCCAAGCACTTGGGCCATTTTCTGCTGCTTTCCCAGGCACATTAGCAGGGGGCTGGATCGGAAGTGGAGCAGCTGGGATTCGAACCAGAGCCCTTATGGGATGCTGGCACTGCAGGCTGTGGCTTCACCCGCCATGCCACAGTGCCGGCCCCTAAGCTGGAATCTTTTAACAGTCTCTTCCCTTAACCTTCTGAATGCCCATATGGATGTCCGTGCTGCAAGCTGGGGTTAACAGCTGAACCACCGCACAGGCCCCCACTAAACTGAATTTTTAAAAATATTTATTTATTTGAAAGTCAAAGTTAAACAGAAGAAGGAGAGGCAGAGAGAGAGAGAGATAGAGAGAGAGTTCTTCCATCTGCTGGTTCACTCCCCAACCGGCCACAGCAGCTGGAGCTGCACCGATCTGAAGCCAGGAGCCAGGAGCTTCTTCTGGACCTCCCATGAGGGTGCAGGGGCCCAAGAACTTGGGCCATCTTCTACTGCTTTCCCAGGCCATAGGAGAGAGCTGGATCGGAAGTGGAGCAGCTGGGATTCAAACCAGTGCCCATTTGGGATGCTGGCACTGCAGGCTGTAGCTTCACCTGCCATGCCACAGCACTGGCCCCTAAACTGGAATCTTTTAACAGTCTCTTCCCTTAATATTCTGAACATAAACTGTAAAAATGTCCATAATTGTTCTGGATCTCTCTCTAGGGTGCCCTGAGTCTGTAAGCCCCCAACTGATTCCCCTCAGCCCCCAAACTAGTTGGAGGAATTGCTGAGGGACCCTCTGTTTGCCCGACGGGTGACAAGCCAATTAGTGACACTGGGATGGTGGAAGAAAGTAGTTTATTTTCCAAAATCTTTAAAAAAAAACACGGAGTTTATTTTCTGTGCGTGGAGCAAGGAGTCGGGCAGCCATCTCTCAGTTCCCAACTCCTGGCGAGGTTAAGAACAGTGAATTTTTTTAAAATTTTTTATTATTTTTATTTATTTATTTATTTATTTTTGACAGAGTGGACAGTGAGAGAGAGAGAGAGAGAGGAGAGAGAGAAAGGTCTTCCTTTGCCGTTGGTTCCAATGGCCGCTGCGGCTGGTGCACCGCGCTGATCCGATGGCAGGAGCCAGGTGCTTATCCTGGTCTCCCATGGGGTGCAGGGCCCAAGCACTTGGGCCATCCTCCACTGCACTCCTGGGCCACAGCAGAGAGCTGGCCTGGAAGAGGGGCAACCGGGACAGAATCCGGCGCCCCAACCGGGACTAGAACCCAGTGTGCCAGCGCCGCTAGGTGGAGGATTAGCAAGAACAGTGAATCTTATAAGGTGAGGTCTGAGCAGCGTGAGATCAGCTTGTGTGCAGGCTGGCTGCTCTACAGCGCTGTGGTCTCCCTTGGATTTGTTCCGCTTGTTCCGCTGAAGACGCTCTGATGGCCAAGTGGGCTTCCGTCTGTGGCAGGTGTCCAGGTGGATTGGTTATCACTTTGTTTCGTCAGGGGTTGCAGTTTGTGCAAAGCATCTCCAAATCCAGCCGAGTCGTAGAATGTTGGCCACAGGTGATCGAGGTCTGAGTCTTATAACCTGGAGTCCTTCAGGGCCAGCCTGACTCTTGTACTGCTCCCTTAATTTAGTGAGTCAATCTTTAGAAAGGAGTTGACCTATGATCACCACCGTGAAGATACAGGCAGTGCACGTGAAGGGAGGGAGAGGGGCCTGATCTGTGTCAAAGGCGTTAGGGCTGGGAGCTCAGTTTCAGTGTCAAATATCTACATTCTGTTTGCTGACAGGTGCCACCCCTCCACTCCCACAAGCACTTAAGATAATGACGATGGGCCGGCGCCGCGGCTCAATAGGCTAATCCTCCGCCTAGCAGTGCCGGCACACTGGGTTCTAGTCCCGGTCGGCGCGCCGGATTCTGTCCCGGTTACCACTCTTCCAGGCCAGCTCTCTGCTGTGGCCGAGGAGTGCAGTGGAGGATGGCCCAAGTGCTTGGGCCCTGCACCCCATGGGAGACCAGGAGAAGCACCTGGCTCTTGCCTTCGGATTAGCGCGGTGCGCCGGTCGCAGCACGCCAGCCGTGGTGGTCATTGGAGGGTGAACCAATGGCAAAAAGGAAGACCTTTCTCTCTGTCTCTCTCTCTCACTATCCACTCTGTCTGTCAAAAAAAAAAAAAAAAGTTTAAGATAATGACGATGCAGAGGCTGACTGCACAAAGGGACCCAGACCTTGCAGAAAAATAGAACTCTGAGCCACCAACCATTACAGCAACCAGCCCAGGAACTGGCTCCAAACATTTACAATTTTTTCAGTAGGAACCAGTTTCCCAGGGCAGGCACAGTGGCATAACAGGTAAAGCTGCCACCTGAAGTGCCAGCATTCCATATGGGTGCTGGTCCATGTCCTGGCTGCTCTTCTGCTGATCCAGCTCTCTGCTATGGCCTGGGAAAGCAGTAGAAGATGGCCCAAGTCTTCCACGTGGGAAGACCTGGAGGAAACTCCTGGCTCCTCTCTTCTGATCGCACAGCTCAAGCTGTTGTGGTCATTTGGAGAGTGAACCAGCGGATGGAAACCTCTCTCTCTATCTCTCTCTCCTCTCTGTAACTCTGCCTTCCAAATAAATATTAAAAAAAAAAACAGTTTCCCTAATTTTTATCCTTTCTTCCAAGTTAGGGCCAACCAGAGAAAGCCAAACCTGTTCCCCTACCCAATTACATAGGATAAGCTTCCCTGTTCCAATAGCCTCTGATCAGGGCATGCCTGTGTCTTCCTTCCTTTATTTATTTATTTATTTTGACAGATTGGACAGTGAGAGAGAGAGAGACAGAGAAAGGTCTTCTTTTTCCATTCGTTCACCCCTCAATGGCCACTGTGGCTGGTGCGCTGCGGCTGGCGCACTGCCCTGATCCGAAGCCAGGAGCCAGATGCTTCTCCTGGTCTCCCATGCGGGTGCAGGGCCCAAGGACTTGGGCCATCCTCCACTGCATTCCCGGGCCACAGCAGATAGCTGGACTGGAAGAGGAGCAACCGGGACAGAATCTGGTACCCCGACTGGGACTAGAACCCGGAGTGCTGGCACCGCAGGTGGAGGATTAGCTTATTGAGCCGCGGCGCCGACCCCCCCCCCCCCGCCTTTTTTAAAGTGAAATTAACACTTTAAGATGAAATGACTTTTTTTAAAAAAAAAAAAACATTTATTTATTTATTTGAAAGGCAGAGTTACAGAGAGACAGAGGGACAGACAGAGAGAGTGAGAGGTCTTCCATCCACTGGTTCACTCCCCAGATGGCAGCAATGGCCAGAACTATGCCGTCTGAAGCCAGGAGCCAGGAGCGTCCTCTGGGTCTCCCACATGGGTGCTGGGGCCCAAGGACTTGGCCCATCTTCTACTGCTTTCCCAGGTCACAGCAGAGAGCTGGCTTGGAAGTGGAGCAGCCGAGACTCGAACCAGTGCCCATATGGGATGCTGGCACTGCAGGCAGTGGCTTTACCTGCTATGCCACAATGCCGGCCCCATTCCTTTTTTTTTTTTTTAAGATTTATTTATTTATTTGAAAGTCAGAGTTACACAGAGAAGGAGAGGGAGAGGGAGGGGGGGAGGGAGAGGGAGAGGGAGAGGGAGAGGGAGAGGGGGAGAGAGAGAGAGAGAGAGAGAGAAAGTCTTCTATCCACTGGTCACTCCTCAGTTAGCCGCAGTGGCTGGAGCTGCCCCAATCTGAGGACAGGAGCAAAGAGCTGGATCGGAAGTGGAGCAGCCGAGACTTGAACCAGTGCCCATGTGGGATATCAGCACTGCAGGCGGCAGCTTTACCCGCTGTGCCACAGCATCAGCCCCAACTCTTCCTTTTTTTCCACTGCAAAGCCTACCACTCCCCTGCCTGCCTTTGAGTCTCTGCTGACTGTGGCTGACTCCTTTGCAATAGCAAGCTCTGAATAGATAGCCTCTGCGTTTTCTCAGTTGCGTGGGCTGCATTCATTTCTGCATGCCTAAATACACTTTCTACTTGAGGGAAGGACTTGCACAAAAGGTACCTTTAAAGGAGAGGCTGGACTTCTTTAGCTCTGGAAATCACGTCATGAGGCCAAGCTTTGATGCTGGCCTCTGTTGTCTGCCCAGCACCTGCCCCATGCAGTAGCCCAGTGGTATGCACTTCTTTTTGGCTCATGTCAACCAATCTCACCCTTGCTCTTCCATCAAGGAATGCAGTGAGAATGTGAGTGCCTGAGAGTGACTTTGCCTATAGGATGATGTTGCAACTTTTTAATTTATAGGAAAAGCTTTTATTCCAATCTTTGAGAGTACTTGATAGCTCCAAACATTTTATTTAGTTATGGGAGTGGGAGTGGGAAGGGGAGGGGGAGGTGGAGGTGGAAGGGGAGGGCTCTCATTTGCTGGATTACTCCACAAATGTCCTCAACAGCTAGGCAGGGTCACGTTGAAGCCAGGAACTGACTCAATCTGGGTATCTTACTTGAGCAGCAGGAGCCCAACCGCTTGAGCCACCAGGGTCTGCACTAGCAGGAAGCTGGAGTTGGGAGAGGAGCTGAGACGTGAACCCAGGCACTCCAGCGTGGGATGCAGCTGTCTAACTGCTAGCCCTGCCCCTTTTTTTCTTTTGGGGATTACTTTGACACAGCTGAGAAGAGTCCCACTGCCTTGTGTATGTGTTTCCTTTACAGTGGTTCTGACTTCTCCTCTAAATAACTCCTAATGGGGGCGGGCTCTGTGGCATAGCAGGTAAGGCAGCTGCCTGAAGTGTCGGCATCCCGTATGGGCACCAGTTTGAGTCCCGGCTGCTCCACTTCTGATACATTTTCTGCTATGGCCTGGGAAATCAGCAGAAGATGGCCCAAATGCCTGGGCCCCTGCACCCACGTGGGAGACTCGAAAGAAGCTCCTGGCTCCTGGCTTTGGATCACTGCAACTTTGGCTGTTGTGGCTATTTAGGGAGTGAACCAGTGGATGGAAGACCTCTTTCTGTCTCTCCCTCTGTCTGTGACTCTACTTCTCAAATAAATAAATAAATAAAATCTTTAAAAAAAAGAAAGAAAAGAGAAGCTCCAAACAGTAGGATGGGAGGGGCTGGTAGAGAGAGACCAAGCTGCTGAGGTCTGCCAGCCTCGAGGTGTTTGTGTGTCCACACGTTATCTCCAAGGTACAAAGGTGGTGGTGACACATTAGTTACCGTGAAGATCGGGCAGGCTTCGCGGAGCCCTCGCTGGCTTGTTTTTATCTAAGCCTGGATCTTGTCATGGAAACCTAGCTCTTGTCATCGGTGATAAGTATTTGTTAGAACGAGCTTCCACCCTGTTCTGCCGAGCGTGTACGTGCTGGAAGGCGCTGCAGTTTGGACGTGCCGGCCAGGAGCTGTGGGAGGGCGTCAGTCTGGCCTGCTTCTAGTCCCGAGCACCCTCGCAGAGGACTGTATCTACATTTACTCTTTGAATCCCTGCAGCAACCTTACAAGGTGAGATCAGCTTTTATCACCAGTTTACAGATACTTGGCTTTCTGTTTCCATTCTCTACTGAAATTGTCCTCACAGAGGCACTAATATCCTTCATGTCACCAAGTGGAGTGAAATTTCTCTGGAGGCCTTGTCTTATTGGACACCTCTGCATCCTTTAATCCCAAGGAACTTTCCCTTGTTATTTTTGCCCTGTTCCCATCTTTTCAGAATTCTGTCTGCCTGGATTCTCTTCTCTCTGTCTCGTCTGGCTGCTGCTTCTTGCTTTCTTCACATATTTGTTTTCTTCAGCCATAATTGAAGATAATCCTCTGAGTTCTGTCTTTCGCCCTCTTCTTTATTCTTTCCAGATTCTCTTTAGGGCAATTTGATCTCCATCCAGGACACCACCCACCTTTCATAAGACAAAAAGTCTCAAATTTATGTTGCTAGCTTCTCTCTCCTGAGCCCCAGGCTCCAACTCCAACATGTCCAGGCACCTGCCCTGGACATGTCCACATGTTGGGTCCGTTGTCACCTGAATCTCAGTGTGCCTGAAACTGACCTCATTTATGTCTCCCTTATCTGTTCTGACTTCTCTCCTCCTGTCTTATCTTCCTTAATGGACAGCACATCATTTACCTAGTCCTCTAAACTGGAAACCTCAGTCACCCGTGGGTTCCTCACCCTAAACCCCATCACCACTGGCATCGTTTTAATTTAAGCTTGTATATGGACTGCTGCCTAGAAAGTGTTTCCATCCCATCTTAAAAAAAGATTTATTTTTCTTATTTGAAAACCAGAGTGACACACAGAAAAGGAGAGACAGGGAGATATCTTCAATCTCCTGGTTCACTGGCCCAAATGCCTGCAGCAGTCTGGGCTGAGTCAGTCCAAAATCAGGAGCCTAGAACTCCATCTAGGTCTCCCACATGGGTACAGGGGCCAAAGGACTTGGACCATCATGTGCTGCCTTCCCAGGTACACTTGCAGGGGGCTGGATCAGAAGCAGAGCAGCTAGGGCTTGAACTGTTGCTCTGAAGTGGGATGCTGGCATCTCAGGTGTGCAGCTTAACCTGCTGTGCCACTATACTGGCCCTCACTTCCCTTTTTGATGGCCACAGATCCTTAATTCATACCCACAGGCATGGGCACACAAACCAGGGTTGGCTAACCATGGTATTCCATTTATTTGCCAATGGTAATTGGTTCAAGCGATGGCTATGTGGCTAAGCAGGGCCAGTTATATAACTTCTCTAGCATGGATGTTTGGTCATGAGAAGAAAGAAATTTTGTTTACTATTGTTGATAAGCAGGGAGGCTGTGATCTTGGGACTGTTACCTTTCCCACCCAGTGGAGATGGTGTTGGAGGATGAAACTGTATAATAATGAATTAACTTTGGCCAAATAAAGACCAATCTTTTCTTTTGGCTCCTGGGAAGTGACCGTTAAACCCTTGGAAGGTTCTGCTTGGTAGGTGTTACTGTTTACCTGGGGCCTTGGGCCATGGCATGTGGTCTGACACTATTGATTGTAAGAAGAGGAGAATTTGGAATAAGAAATAAAACACTGGGGCCAGCGCTGTGGCACAGCAGGTTGATCCTCTGCCTGTGGTGCCGGCATCCCATATAGGTACTGGTTCTAGTCCTAACTGCTCCTCTTCCCACCCAGCTCTCTCCTATGACCTGGGAAAACAGTAGAAGATGGCCCAAGTCCTTGGGCTCCTGCACCCACATGGGAGACCCAGAAGAAGCTCCTGGCTTGTGGCTTTTGACCGGCCCAGCTCCAGCCATTGAAGCCTTTTGGGTAATGAACCAGTGATGGAAGACGTTTCTCTCTGTCTCTCCCTCTTACTGTCTGTAACTCTACCTCTGAAATAAATAAGATCTTAAAAAAAAGAAGTAAAGCAACACATGCAGGCAGGGAATGGAGTGAGGCATCTGCAAGGCAAGAAGACTGAGGATTTCCAGGAGCTGCCAGAGCTAAGGAGAAACAAGGAAGGGTCCTCCCCTAGAGACATGAGAGAGACTAGCCCCTGGATACCTTGCTCAGACTTGTGGCTCTAGAACTCTGAAGGAATGTATTTCTGTATTTTTAAGCTGCCTGGTGTATAGTCCTTTGTAGTAGAAGTTCTCTCTTTCACTGGGTTCTGGAGCCTCAGGATCCTAAGTGATTCCTTGCCAATGCAAAGCCTGTCTCTGGCAGATGTGCCTGGGGTGCCCAGGCCTGTTTAGGTGGTCCCTTTCTGCTCATCAGTCACAGTGCCCTCCTTTACTTCCCTCAGAAGCTCACGTGTCCCGAAGCTTCGAATCAGGAGAAGAAATAAGCACGTGGCATTGTCCGGAGTCGACCAAGTCCTTTCTAAGTGTTGGCTTTTCTGAGATACTACAGAGTCGGGTCCAGAAGATCTCCACAACGAGAAGTATCCTGCTGACAACCTGGTTAAGGTAGCTCCACATCTGGCAATTGTTATCCATGGAATTTTCTCCAGAAAGGTATGATGGTTCTCTCAACACAGGAATAGTTTACACAGAAGACATTCCAGAAATATCTTCCTGCTGCTTCTCCACATAGTTGTGTTTTTGTGTCATGAAAAATTGTGGCTTATCTGCAGCCATCTTGAACCACAGCCTACTGTTTGTCACTAGAGTGTGTCTTGAGTACCTAGTCTGACAGCAAAGGCCAAAGGCCAAAAGCCATGGAAGGGAATCTTGGTCTGCCAAAAATGTGCCGTTTTTAGTCTCTTTTCACTCAAATGCTTGGTGAATGATAAATGTGCTTGCTTTGTTTCTCAAGTGCAGAGTGTTAGAGGGCTTAATTCAACCATCTGTGTGTGTAGACAACCCATCTGTGTGGGTAGACAACAGGGAATTGAAATAGGCTAGGAATGATTAAAAGTATTACCTGGAAGTAATTCTGTCCACTGACAATGTTCTTCAAGGGAGAGGCGGCCATTCCAAAAAGTGTCCCCCATCTCAGCTTCCTGCTTACCACAGCCCTGCCTGCCTCTTTCCATGCCCTTGCTGGTTGTGGCCATTGGGGGGCTCATTTGACAGCAGACTAAGCAATGAACATTGTGTGGGCAGAAGCCTGGACAGTTCTGTTTGTACTACAAGGCTTAGCACAGTGCCCAACTCTCAGGTTTTCGTGAATGTCCATCAGGTGAGGTACAAATCATGCAGAACTCAAAACTCAAAAGTTTGAGGCACAGCTCTTAGGAGGAATGAACCTGGAATATTCTGGATATCTGTGAGCTGATCAATTAGCATGAATTGTTGCCATGAGAGAAAAATAAGCACTGGTTTTAAATAGAGGTGCTGGGAACTCGTGTTCCTGGCAGTCGGTCATGTGGGTGCCAATTTGTGGGCTGTGGTTATAGAAGTAATGAGGGCTCCATGAGGGCACCACCTGGGCAGTTGTATTCATGGCTTTATCCCCTGTGCCTGACAGTAACTGCTCAAAATGTTTGTGGAATAAATGATGGGCTGGCTTTAGACAAGGAACCCTCAGTGGTCGGGCAGACATTGGGCTGAGGCCACAGGGTGTTGCACATGTCAACGACTAACAGCTCTTGTGATTCAAATCTCTCCATCAGAATAAGAGAAAGTCCTGATTTCATTTCCATAATGTTGCATATGGGGGGGAAATGTTCATGGATACTTGCAACAAAATGATGGAACTGGAGATCATTATATTAAGTGAAATAAACCACATGTGGAAAAATACTGCCTGCTCTCTTTCATAAGTAGGAATTACAAATATAGCTCATGTGAGCTTAGAACAGAGGCTGTGGAGGGCGGAGGGAAGGAGGACAGATGGAGGCTGGAAGACAGGCACCCAAACACAGTCTGGTGGAAGTGTCAAATCCTAGTGCTCCACAGCACCGTGGTGGACCACAGTTCCCACTAGTGCATTATATGCTGTGTGAAGGCTTGGAGGAGAGGAGCTGGTGTGCTCCACACACAAAGAAAAGACAAGGAAATGGAAAGGCTGGCTGCCTGGTTTTGCTGTGGGCTAGGGTGTAGTAATTTTTACTCCAGGCTTGTGCCTCATAATTGACAAGCATTCTGAGTGTAGACACATATAAGGTGCACAAGTGATACCAAAAATTTGTTCAACAGGTGAGAAAGTGAACACCTATACATGTGTGAATGTAGGTGGCTCTACATGGATAATTATCTGTTATGAGTGGACAGTGGGCCAGAGAATTGCTTGAAGGAAGGATGGTGGGGTAGGGGAGAGAGAGAGATTGTACCTGTGCAGCATCTCCAGGCACAGTCTGTGGGGAAAGAGAGAGAGAGAGAGAGAGAGAGAGAGAGAGAGCGAGCCAGAGAGCTCCTCCTCTGCTCTTGGCCTCTTTTATGAGATAGGAGGTGATTCTCCTAAAGATCTGAAGCCACTTGGGGGTTATATGGCCCTTCTACAAGTTCCACATGGAACTCTATACTGTATTTTCATGGCATCCCTCCCCCTTAGGTCCTGGATGAAGCAGATGCATATTGGGAAAGGGGGTGTTTGGATGGACAAGTATGAGGATAGAATTACAAATGGGAGCTTGTGACTTCCAGCTCAGCAGACCTAAGCTAACTAACTACCTGCCTGTTTATCCCACATCAACTTGATTGGCTTGTGCTGTACTTATGTGTTGAGATATTGAAGGGTACGCCATAAAAATGTAACAGTGTTGCATGTTAATAAATAAAAAGCAAGCGCTGTAAAACTAAAACAAGTGTTCATGAGAAATAAATTTAAAGATAAATTTATATTAGTGCAATGATGTTTTTGGTTAAGACACCCACCTCTCCTATCAAAGTGCCTAGATTTGAGTCCCGGTTTCACTCCCAATTCCAACTTTCTGCTAATGTACACCAAATGCGGAGCTGGGAGACCGTCAGTGATGGTTCAAGTAGTCAGGTCCTTGCCACCTACATAAGAGACCTGGACTGCAGTCCCAGCTCCTTGCTTCATGCTGGTTGCAAGCACTTGGGGAGTAAACTGGTAGTTAGGAGTGCTTGCTCTCTCTCTCTCTCAGATAAAAAAGAACTTTTAAAGAAATTTAAATATAAATAAATGTAAGCCCCAAACTATCCTTAGACTTTGCCTTCCACAGAGGCCTGCTTCTGTCCTATATGAGCAATTGGGATTTCCTAAGTTTAGAGCCACTCACAAACAGTGACTATACCTCGCCCAGTGAGTGTATTCCCTGTGAGGTTTGTTCATGCTATTCGTCCCCTCTTAAAGCATCATGAGCCTCAGAAAATTTCTCTGTGTGTGGCAACAACCCATGTGATTCATGAAATCATACAAAAGTTCTTCTAAAAGTTCATGAAGTTGAAATCCATGCACCATTTTTCTTCTTTTTTTTATATTAGCACAAACCCATTTATTGACAACTCAGAGGGATGATCCTAATTAAACCAACACTTTTGGGATAGTTGGAAGTGAAAAGTTTGTGATAACAATAATTTAATATATTCATGAAAAAAAAAGCAGTATGGAAATTTACTAATTGAATTGAGCTTGTTAATTGTTGCAGCTAATTCCTGTCCAAAACAATGACAGAACTTTTGTCTGGCTTTCTCATAGACCTGATGACAGGTGGCTTTGTTCATGAAACAATCCATCATTAGTTTCCCATCTTGCAGTTTCCTTGTGAATGCATGAATCATTTTCTCATAACACATTTTCCATGAAACTTTAAAAATAAATACATCTTTTTAAAACATGTATTTATTTATTTGAAAGGCAGAGTTAGAGAGAGAGAGAGATCTTCCATCCACTGGTTCATTCCCCAAGTGACCGCAACAGCTGGGGCTGGGCCAGGCTTAAGCCAGGAGGCAGGAGCTTCGTCAGGGTCTCCCACATGGGTGACAGGGACTCAAGAACTTGGGCCGTCTTCCGCTTCTTTCCTGGATACATTATCAGGGAGCTGGATCTGAAATACAGCAGCCAGGACTGGAACCAGCACCCATACTGGATGCCAGCATCACATACAATAACTTCAACCACATACAATGCTGACCCCTTCCATGAACTTTCTGAAGACCCCCTTATGCACAGAGGATAGTTTCAACTGCTAGGCCCAATGCTTATCCCCAAGCACATTTTATAAAGTTCTTGAGGAAGCTGGCTTGATCACAGCAGAGATCTGTAGGTCTCTTGGTGCCAAAGATTTGATGCTGGTATTGTCAGGTGAGGCTTCAAAGCTCCAAGGCTGATAGGGTACCTCCTTGTTGCAGCCTAAGCTCATAGGCTTTGATAAAGCAGGTTAGAGAGTCACCCTGCCTTGTCAAAGTCTCTTCAAGTGTGAAACTCGGGTTATATTTGGGATAATTGTCAAGTCTAGGAGTTGAGGCCAGTAACTCCCATTTGGGGGTCAAATGAGGTTTGATGTAACATTTCTAAGGAATGGGGAAGTTCATTCCCAGTTCTCACACATGGGATCTGATAAGATGTCACACAGTGGAGGGAAGGAGAAATACATTCTAAAACAAAAACATGATGGAGCAAACTATGTCAGTGCCTGGAATCATTTCAAAGCTATGTAACATTGGGCTGGGTGCCGTGGCGCAGCAGATTAAAGCCGTGGCTTACAACACTAACATCCCAAATGAGCACTGGTTCGAGTCCTGGCTGCTCTGCTTCTAATCCAACTCCCTGCTGATGGTGCCTGGGAAGCAGCAGAAGACAGCTCAAGTGCTTGGGCCCCAGCACCCTCGTGGGAGACCCAGAAGAAGTTCCTTGCTCCTGGCTTTGGTCTGGCCTAGCCCCAGTTATTGCGGCCATTTGGGGAGTAAACCATCGTGGATGAAAGACCTCTCTTTGTCTTTACTTCTCTCTGGAACTCTGCCTTTCAAATCAATAAAAACAAATCTTTTAAAGAAAGCTATGTAACACATAAGGAAAGATTTTTTTCCAGACTTGTCAATCATATGAATTCTAAAGTGAGTAAAAATATATTTTCTTTTTTTATGGTTTTTTTTTTTTGACTTTTTAATATTTTTTTATTTAGTAAATATAAATTTCCAAAGTACAGTTTATGGATTACAATGGCTCCCCCCCCCCCATAATTTCCCTCCCACTCGCACCCCTCCCATCTCCTGCTCCCTCTCCCATTCCATTCACATCAAGATTCATTTTCAATTATCTTTATATACAGAAGATCGATTCTCAAGTAAAGAAGTATATTTATTATATAAAAGCATATAATAGCTAAAAATAAAAATGAATATAATTTTGCCACTTAGAGATACTGTCAATTTTTTGGAGTATATTTCATCCTCTCTCTTCCTGTTAGGATGCTGTGTTTAATTTTCCACTCAGTAGTATTGTGTATTTCATGTTATTAGGTGTTTTCTATATGGTACTATCAAAGATAATGCTTCAGTGAGCATCATCTTTATACTTTATATACAAATCCTTATTTGTATTTTCAATTGTTTAAAAAAAATGAACCGAAGTGGACGTTGTAGGTCAAAGGTTATGACACACTTCGCAAAGTTGAGGGGAAGCCTGTTCTGTGTAGAACTGACTTTCCCACTATCAGCAATTAACAACAGCAGCAACAACAAGCAAGATGGTGGCTAAGGTGCTCCAAGGATCGTTTCCCTACAAAGATGCCAACTTGAACGGCTAATCACATACAAGCCACCTTTATGAGAGCTAAAGGAGCCAGACCAGAGAACAACGTGTCTTCAAAAAAAAGATGCATTGAAGCCGGAAGGAAAGAGTTGCAGTGTCACCCTCACCCGGCTCCAAGCAGGGCAGCTCTGCAGGAGGGAGAGGGAATTAAGTCCAGACCTTTAACCTGAAACCCAGTACCAGGCCTGCCAGTGTACAACCCAGCACCGCAGGCCCTGTCACTACCTGTAGACCAAACTTTGGACCTGCCTCAGCCACACGGTGAAGGCACTGCATCCATCATCTTTTCCTCAACATTTAGCAGACAGTAGAGCAAGATTCCAGCAACCGGACAGCAGGGTGGGGAACTCAATGCAGAACTTCACCTTGGAGCCCAACGTCAGCACATCCGAAGTATGACTCAGCACCAAATAAAGCCCAAAGTTCTCTGTTCCCAGGCTAACTCTTGCAGGCAGAACCTCTAGTGGTTCATTCTGAACTGCATGCCAGCTGTGGATGTGGGGTGCACCTGGAATTGGGGAACCCTTTGGTGTTGAAATAGCAGCAATGTGCTAATAACTGGCCTGCAGTAGACCTGAGCGTGGGACGCCACCAGTGCCGAAATCCTGGAAATGTCCGTAGCCACTGAGAAAATCAACAAGACTGCTTAGAATTTCTGGAAGCAGGTACAAACAAAGCCAGATTATGAAAACTGGGAAAAAATTCTTAATCTTTCAACTTGTGCATGATATTGTACACCAATAAGCATCAAAATTTTCTGACAGCCATGACCTCACCTAATGTACAGAATGAAGTGCCAGAAACCAAACAGATAGCAACTGATAAAGGCAAATCTTCAGGTGTAAAATTCAAACTAGCTGTTTGAGGAGATTCACGGAGATGCAGGAAAACACAGAAACTTAGTGGACAGATAGAAATAAATAAAAGAAGGAAATCCTTGTGTTGAAAAGTATGTTAAGGAACATTAAAAACGTGATAGAATACACCAGTAGCAGACTAGATCAAACAGAAGTAACAATTAGTGAGCTTTAAGGCAGGCTAGTTGAAAGTATGCAGAGGAAGAAAAAAACATGAAGAGGAATGTAAAATGCTCACAGGGACTTTGGGACAGCATTAAAAGAGCAAATATTGAAGTAACTAGGGTTCAAGCGGAGCTTGTGAAGGCCAAAGGTATAGAAACCAAAGAGATAATAACAAAATTTGCCAAGCACAGGGCAAGTTGCAGCTGTCCAGATACAGGGAAGTCAGGGGTCACCAGTCTGATTCAACACAATCAAGTCAATCCCAAGTAGTATTAATCAAAGGTTCCAAGGTTAAAGATAGAGGCTTCTCAATGTTGCAGAAGGAAGGGAAGTACACATAAAGGTGTCAGTTCACTGGACTGCACACTTTCTGGCTGGAACCTTGTGCAGTAAGAGAGAGTGAGATAAGACTTTCAGTATCTGAAGGGAAAAACCTGCCAACCAGCTAAGTTATCGTTTGGACCTGAAGGAGAGATAAAGACATTTCTAGACAAACAAGAGCTAGACTTGTCCTACAAGATATGCTAAAGGGAGTTCTTCAAATAGCAGGTAGGAGATGCTGACAAGTAAAAAGAAAACATCGGAAGATAGAAAACTTGCTGATTAGAGAGCCTGGAAAGAAGTCCACTCATCTCCAATCCTGACCTAAGACAGGTGGTGGAGTTTTTCGAACCGGGGGCTGAGGTGTAAGGCCCGGTCAAGGGCAGAAGGCTGGTGTCTCAGCTCCAGCAGTCTGGCAGAGCGGGTGAAAACCCCTTGCCTTTGCCTTTTGTTCTATTCAGGCCCTCAGTGGATTGGGTGATGCCCACTCTCACTGGAGAAAACCATGGGCTTTACTCAGCTCACTGATTCAAATGCTAATCTCATGTGAAACTGCCTCCCCCACCCCCAACAATGTTTAATCTAGGCACCTGCTGGCCTAAGCTGACCCTACAAAGAACCATCCTGCACAGGATTGCAATCATCAGTTCCTTTGGAATATACTCTGTGCATAATGCGTGCACAGCATGCAAATTGCCAAGTTCAGAAAGGAAGCCTCAGGGGAGTGTGTTTCCAAGATCTAAGACTTTCAGAAACCAAGTAAACCACACACAGCTTGTGGGAGTTAGGCAACTCTGCAAGCCAGGCTGGGTAGACTGCCAAGATGACGGGCCATCTGACTATGTTTCTAGGGACAATAAGGCACCCTATTTGGCACCAGTTTTGGGAAAAGTGGAAGAAGTACAGCGCAGCCAGCTGAAAGCCTTCGCCTCATTGGAATTCAGCTGGGCCCGGAGGACATCTGCCATCTGGGCTGTTTTGTTCTCTGCTTGTTCCTGTGCCTGGGGAAGAGCCTGGAACACTGTGGGTTTCACAACACCACACTCTCCCCGGGCATGACTTGAGACAGCATCGTATGTGTGGTCCATGCTGGGAGGGTGCTTGGAGGAATATAAAAACTGTCTGGAGGGTAGTTATCAATCAGCTGCTGTGTCAAGACCAGTTGCAAACAACAAAACCCATCAGTCTAGATTAAGATGATAAAAAGACTTATTGGAAGAATATTACAAAACCTACAGAATTGCTACATGGCTCTAAATCCACATATACTGGAATAATACCCAACTAGGCTGTGGGTTTGCTCCAGCCTCCCTGGGCACTTTTGCTGGGCATCCTCACCTGGATTGGCTGCCTAACGCTGCTCCCCTGCCTCCCTGATCACAAGGCATATTTGATGTGCTTCTTGGGAGATTGGTCCCCTCAACTGTTACTTTGAAATTGGCCAGCTTTATTAATGCTGAGGGGCCCCGCTGTCTATCCAGATAACAATTCTGAATATCAGCTTGAATAAAGCAGGCAACATGGTAAGGTTTTTAGCATTTATTCAGTGAGAGAAATACACAGGGAAGCGAGAGCTTTATTTAGGCAGAAAGAAGTCTAGAAATGTTAAGCTGGGTCCATACCAGGCAGAGAGCAGGCCAGGAGCCATCTTCTACTGCTATCCCAGGCCATAGCAGAGAGCTGGATCAGAAGAGGAGCAGCCGGGACCAGAACTGGCACCCATATGGGATGCCAGTGCTTCAGGCTTTAACCCCTTGCACCACAGCGCTGGCCCCCTTTCTCTTAAGTTTATAGATTGCTATAGTCAAAGCCAATGCACTGTTTTCATATTCAGATCAATGACCATTATCTTTTCTGTCTTTGGTAAACGGAGTTAGAGTGATAATGAGAGGTGAGTTAGGAATAAGAATGTGCCCAGAGGCTTCCTGCTAATGTGCACCTTGGAAGGTAGCAAATGATGGCTCAGGTAATTGGAACCCTGTCACCCACGTAGGAGATCCAGATTGAATTCTCAGTTCCTGGCATTGGTATGACTCAGGCTTGCCTGTTGTGGACATGAGGAGAGAACCAATGGATGGGAGATCTCTGCCTGCCCATATGGGATGCCAGAGCGTCAGGCCAGGGCTTTAACCCACTGTGCCACAGCACCGCTCCCCCCCCATGTTTCTTTTAACAGATTAATTCCCTTATCAGAATCTCCCCAGTGCCTCTAATTCCTAAAACGAGCAGCAAGTAGCCAGAATGACCGATTATGTGGCTTTCCTGGAAAACTGATTGATCACTGAGTTTAAGATCCACCTTCAGAATCCTGTACACTGCCACATAGAGAAATGTAAAATTTTTATTTTCAATTTATTGGCTGGATTAAGCACCTCAGCATTCCTTACTGAGTACGTGATAAAATTCACATGTAATATAAATATAAAGTGTATTATACATACCTTGTCCTCAAACATGTTAAAAATTCATTGAAACAATTCTCATTTTGTAAGATTTAGCAGTTTGGACGGAGCCTGTCAATATTATGCAATTTCTATTTCTATTTCCTGGTGCCCTGCCCCCAGCACACACTCCGCTCCCATTTTACTGTTGGCTGATGGTCACCGTGACTGGTTGAGGTTTGAGGAGGACGGTCCCCACGGGCCACCCCTGGATTGCTGGGGACTGTGATTCATCCTCATTGGAGAATATGCTCTCTTCTCCCCAGCCCCGAGAATCACTAGTGTGGGATATAGAAAAATAGGCATGGAACAAATTTCCGTAGTAAACCATGTTAGTAACATCCAGTTTTTTCCAATAGCGTGAGTATATCCTTTGCTGGCAGCAGAGGGCTTCCTGAGGAGTACAGAGTTTCCCTTCAGGAGAAGGGAAAAGTGCGGTGTGCACGGTGAGGAATGAAGCTACTAAGAGAAGCCACAGCTGTCCTGCAGCTTCTTGGCTGTGTGTGCTCAATCCTTGGTTCAAGTTCTGCTGTTTGGCGAATCCCTGAACACTGTGTGACAGCCATCTGAGTATTTGAAGCTGTTTATTGTATTTTCAGGTTGAGGCATTTGGATCTGGCTGAAGAGCCCATGAGAGTATTTCATGCATGGAAATCAAGACACTCTGGCAAAAACAAAGAGGACCTAAATGAAAGATCTCTGTGAGTGAGATCCCAGTGGAAAGAATGGGGACATCGAAGAAGGAGGTATCTTTGTATTTTCAGGTTGAAACACCCCTTAGTTCAATTACTCTGCATTTGTTCAATAAATACTTAATTGAATTCTTTTTTTTTTTTTACACACTGATACAGCTTGTTTTTTCTCAACAATCAAAATGCAAAGTTCATCACAATGGAGCTGTTGTTTTGGTTATGCATAATGTGTATCCCTCCAAAAGCAGAAGAAAAACAGAAAAAGTACCCTCACTAAAGTTTCCCCATCACATCTTTCAAGCTCATCCCACAAAGGTGCCACGGGAGACTCAGGAAAATACTTAGAAAGCTGCCCGATGAGGTATTTATGCAAAAAGAGTAGTTCTGGAGTAAAGAACACATTTTATAAGATATTCATCTATTTTCTCAAGAGATCAGAAAAGGAAATCACACACATTGCATTTCATTTTTTTAAAATTAAAAAAAATTTTTTTGACAGGTAGAGCTAGACACAGAGAGAGACAGAGAGAAAGGTTTTCTTTTTCCGTGGGTTCACCCCCAAATGGTCGCTGTGCTGATCTGAAGCCAGGAGCCAGGTGCTTCCTCCTGGTCTCACATGCGGATGCAGGACCCAAGGACCTGGGCCATCCTCCACTACCTTCCTGGGCCACAGCAGAGAGCTGGACCGGAAGAGGAGCAACTGGGACAGAATCCGGTGCCCCAACCGGGACTAGAACCCGCTGTGCTGGCGCTGCAGGCGGAGGATTAGCCAAGTGAGCTGCGGTGCCGGCCACATTTTATTATTTTCTAAAAGAAGCCTATGCCCCTTTAGAAAAATGAAATGAGGGGGGACAGCCCACTGTGGGGAGTTTCATTGGAAGAGTCCCCCTGCCAGAAACAGCCCTGAAAGTTTGCCTCTGCCTTCCAGGAGAGAGAAGCCTGCATTTCCTCATCGTGGCGGGGGTGGGGAAGGTAGGGGATTGAGGTGGTGGTCTTTGGGATGGGTCAGGTGGCAGCAAAGACAAGCGCTGCTCAGTCCCACAACTGTGGACCGGAGGGACTTTGTGGCATCAGATGTTTGGGTAGAGGGAGGGGGCAGAGCACTGTCACCTACACCCTCAACAAAGACACTGGATGTGTCAGGCTTAGGGAAAGTCCCTGACCTGCTGCATAGGTGCAGGGTTTCCCATGTTCTCTCCTCAGCAACCCAAAGGAAGATGAAAGTGGGCAATGGCCCAGTGGATTCCCACTGTCCTGGCTGCTGGCTCGGCATTGGCCCACAATGGCCGCATCGAGAGGATCTGGGATCTCCACAGCCTCCTCCGGCTCCCCCACCATCAGACCCCACCCAAGTGGATGTTTTTGCTTCAAAACTGCCATCCTTTTGGATGGGAAATAATATTCCTTGACAGGTTTCTCTTTGGATCTCTCTGTTCAACGTCTGATTTTTCAGGCAAAGATGACAGGGTTTCTTGGCTACGTGACACCGTGTGGTTGTCTACATTCAGCTCTCGAAATCTTGTGGTCTTAATTCCTGGCTGGTTGATGCTCTCGGGTGATGGACAGGCCGGCCGTCCCTTCTTCCTGTGAAATGGCGCTGTTGCAAAACAGCCGGCCGTCCTTACCCCTTGGGCTCACTTCCTCCATCACATGTACCCTATCTCCTACTCTCACCCAAATAAGGCCCACTAGCAGGTTGCCCCTTCTCCTGGCAAATTTGCATAATGATTCACTGCCTTTTTTCCTAGAACCGAATCACGGCAATGATTTTCTCAAGTCAGCGTCCCATGATTCTCTTGAGTCTATCATACACACTCACTACTAAGTTTGCCCTCTATTGCTTCATGTGAAACACGAGCAGACACAGAGAAAGGACACACTTTTCAACAGAGAACTGGAGGGGCTGGGGGCTGAGTGCACACAAGTCCAGCTGAGAAGACACCTGCACAACCAGCTTGTACTATGCCCTTATTATCCATTATAATAGTGCTAGGAAATATTATCATTGTTTTAATGGAACCTAAAGTGTAATCGCATTAGCTTATTAGGCAACTAGTAGTAATGATAAGCAATGCTAAGTGTCTTTGACTTTATGTATGTATTATGTTAGATGTTGAGTTAAGTAATCCAGTAACTACATTAAGTTGATTACACTCCCCCTTCCCTCCACCTGGCCAAATGTGACCCAACCTTGACCCAGGTCCAGGAATGTAAAAGGGAGGTATAAAGCTTGAGATAACAACCAGCCCCTACCCTGGAGTCCGCAGCAGGTGTGGGGACTTATTAGAAGTGTCAACTTGATCTATAGCATTCCCCTAAAGCCTGCTTGTACATGATAAGAAAAGCTCTGTAAGAATTGGGCTCGGGGCTTCTCGGGGGCTTCCTCTCCTGGAGGCACTGAGGGGCCCGGGTTCGAACTCGTAATAAAAACGACCCTGCTAATTGGCTTCAACTTTGGTCTCTGGTGGTGTGATTTTCGGGGGGACCATGGACTGCGGGCATAACACAGCCATCCAAGCCCCTACCAGAGCAAGAAGAGAAATATATATATAAAAATATAAACATATATAAATATATATTTGTAAATTATATATATAATATATATAAATATATTGCAGAGCAAGTTCCACAAGTCAGAATTTGTCCCTGAAGAAGGTTAAACCTTAAACGCCTGCTTCAAAAAACCAAAACAAAATAACCCAGAAAAAAAGAAAAAGAAAAAACCAAAACCAATAACAAAGAGTGAATGAAAAAAGAAAGAAGAAGAAAACCAAAAGACCTCTGAGCCTAAGGGTTTAAAAATTAGAGGCATAGTCTTTTCTCTGCTTTCTATATTTATATGAAAATAATTCATGCGTCATGCTAAATAAATTATCTAACTGTGCAAGAATTTCGTTTTTTTTGAATAAAAGTTTGTTTTCCTGATTTTTTTTCTTTTTTTTTCTTCAAAGGAGTCCATGCATTGTGGATCAGAAATTTCCGGCCGGCGCCGCGGCTCACTAGGCTAATCCTCCGCCTAGCGGCGCCGGCACACCGGGTTCTAGTCCCGGTCGGGGCGCCGGATTCTGTCCCGGTTGCCCCTCTTCCAGGCCAGCTCTCTGCTATGGCCAGGGAGTGCAGTGGAGGATGGCCCAGGTGCTTGGGCCCTGCACCCCATGGGAGACCAGGAAAAGCACCTGGCTCCTGGCTCCTGCCATCGGATCAGCGCGGTGCGCCGGCCGCAGCGCGCCGACCGCGGCGGCCATTGGAGGGTGAACCAATGGCAAAGGAAGACCTTTCTCTCTGTCTCTCTCTCTCACTGTCCACTCTGCCTGTCAAAAAAAAAAAAAAAAAAAAAAAAAAAAAAATTTCCGCGACTACACTGACTGAAAGTGGAAACCACTGATTTTCGTGAAGATGAACTTTTTTTTTTTTTTTTTCTGATCAAGGTCCCACTTTATTGAAGGAGGCAGCTTATATAGTACAAGGCAAGGATTGTAACAGTTGAGGGCAAGCAGGGGTCATTTTACAACATAGTTAGAAGGAATGGTTTTACAGGAGTTTTAAATCAACATCAGTTTGACAAGGGGAGTTACCGTGGGGTTTTACAGCCACCAAATACGCTTATCAAGATACAAGAGGTTGTGAGATCAGAGGGCACTGAAGCCAGAAGGCCAAGCACCAACCATATCAGTGATCTGTACAAACGGAGCTTTCTAGTGATTTGTAGTGAAAGTTAATCTAAACAGAGGCCTATACAGGGAAACCAACACAGTGGCTCCCAACAGTCTCCTTCCCTCCCCAAAGCCTATACCCATCTTAAGACTATTATTGAGGAACTGTGCTGCTCTGTTTTCTTTCAAAGCAGTTTCTTTGAAATTGGCTAGAAAGGAGTTCAGTATGGACAATTTGGCACATTAGTGGGGAAGGTTAGATGAAGAATAATCTATAAAAAAGTGAGGTCAAAGGAAATCCATGCCAATAGAAAGCCTGAGTAAAAATTTGTAACCAATAACAGAATTATTTTTTAAAAAATACTAGTCTGTACATGAGAAAGCAATTTCTCTTCCACACCCATTATCTAATTCCAAGTTAGTTTGCAAACTCCATTTTGAGGGCAGAATGGGAGTTACTTTATTTGAGTTGTTTTTTTGCCACTTTTTTGTTTTGTTGTCTGTCAATGCGTCTTCACTCTTTTAAAAAAATACACCACAATACAAATGGCAGCTTCTGCAGCTTTGTTCTGTTTTGTTTTGCCCACTTGGCTCAAATCGTGTTGACAAAGAGCTCTACCATTATTTCCTTAACAGCTCCTGTGACTTCGTGACCGCCCGAGACTGCTCCTCCCGCGGGCACTTGAGAAGACACGACTGGCTTTCTGCAAGTTTTCTTCTCACTCTCACTCTGCGTGTTGCCTGTTGTGTGTTGTGTTGTGTGTGTGCACACAGGGCCCTCCTTCAGGCTCATGGCTTTTGGAACTTGTTCTTAATTGACTCTAGAGTAGAATTCGAGGATTAGCAGCTTCACTACAAATGCACCGGTTTCCTCTCTCAGTCGCTGACACCTGACGGATCTGAACGGTTCCTTCAGGGTCCACCAGGCGAGCTGCCACCAGGCTTCAGGGTCACGAGGCGCAGAAGAGCAGAGGCCAAGGCCCCGTGCGCACTGCGTGGCAACGCCAAGGGCCCTCCTGGCACAACGGCATGCCCAGGGCCACGGGTACAGGTCGTCCTTCTTCCTAATTGCGTTCCTTTCTGCTACTCAGTGAGCCCAGCTGGGTGTGCGACCTGACTCTTTAAACCTGAGGGTGGGCCTGCACGCCGGTCGCTTTGCACATGTGCTTTCTGCGTGCCGCGTGTGTAAATCCCGCGGCATCGCTGTAGACACCCCTGGGAATTCAGCCACACGTTTCCGACAAACTGGAGGAAGCAATGGTAATTTTCGCTTTTTTGGTTTTGCCTTCAGATGATGAAAAGCTTTTGTAAAACGGCTGAGTGTCAACACGAGTTCTACGGCTTCAATCTCCATTAAAAATAAAATCCTTAAGGGTCCAAAATAAAGGAAAGGGGGGCCAAAAAAAAAAAAAAAAAAAAAAGCAGGTGTCATCCCCCGCCGCCTCCATAGACCGCTTCCAATCCAGAGGAGCGGCATAGAGTAACCTTGCACTGGCCACAAGGAGGCGCTGTTCCCCCAAGGATCAGCCGACAGAGGTCTTGAGCAGCTCCTGTTGGCGGCTGGTGGGAGCCTGCTAAGTGCCAGCATCTTTGATAGAAACAGGACTGCGCCCCGAGTAACTTCTCTTGTAACCCCTACCTTGTCATTCGGGAATACATCGTGGGGGGCTGGCATTTGGGAAGTGAATCAGAGGATGGGAGAGCTTCCTCTTTGTAATTCAAATACATAATGAGTAAAAATTAAAAATAGAAGAAGAAAGGCATCTTGGACAACACCACTCTGTCAGCAGCAGCTCATGTATACTATTGGTGGTTATTGGGATTGTTTACTGTCTCTGGCAACTGTAAACATACTTGTGGTGGTCATGTTGGTCCCGACATTGCTGGAGGCTGGGCTGGTTCTAACCCAGTCTTTCCCTGACTACAGGACAGCCCTGTGCTCCTCTCGGCAGGCGGGCTGACTTACCTGGCTGGGAGAGTGGGCAGTGGGTCGCTGGGAGTGTGAAGCTCTGTCTCCCGTTGGCTCTGCCCTGGACTGGCCTGCATGCGGGTTAAGTCTTCTCTCGTTCTTCCTGGTGATTAACTTCTCGGGGTGCAATTGTCTGCAGTTCTTGTAACACTTCTGAAGGTAAGGGTGCTGTTTTCCTTTTCCATGTTCACGTGTTACTTGTTCTACTTCTGCTTTCTTGTGTTTGTAAACTCACCTGGGAAGGCCTGGACATGTCAGGTGCTTGGTCTATGGCTGACAAAGTCCATGTTGGCCCAGAATCAGAAGATTCTATGGAGATGATCTCTCAGCAGTCTTGTTACTCCCATGTGTTTTATTCACCTGATTCAGAACTCGGAAGAGGTATTACTTCAAGCCTTCAAAGCAACAACGTGGGCTCCGGAAGTAGAGGAATCAGTTCCGAATCCCCATCCTTTCGTTCATTTTCTTACTTTTACGACCTTCGGCAAATTATCTTTCTGAGCTGCAGTTTACTTAGTTTGCATGCTCTCTCCAAAGCTCAAGGAATTCAATTACTATCATGAGGTTAAGAGGTGGGACCTTTCAGAAGTGGTTAGGTCACGATGACTCCATCTTCCTGAATGGACTGATGTGATGGTGGGAGGGGGTTATTTCTTGTGACTGCAGCAGTGGACTAGTTGTGGCTGAGGGGAATGGGTTAATTGTGACTGATGGAATGAGTTAATCTTTTTTTTTTTTTAAAAGATTTATTTATTTATTTGAAAGTCAGAGTTAGAGAGAGAAGGAGAAGCAGAGAGAGATAGAGAGAGATAGAGATAGAGAGGTCTTCCATCCGCTGATTCATTCCCCAATTGGCTGCAAAGGCTGGAGCTGTGCAGATCCAGAGCCAGGAACCAGGAGCGTCTTCTGGGCCTCCCACACAGGTGCAGGGGCCCAAGGACCTGGGCCATCCTCCACTGCTTTCCCAGGCCAGAGCAGAGAGCTGGATTGGAAGTGGAGCAGCCAGGACTCGAACCACCATCCATATGGGAAGCCAGCACTGCAGGCGGTGGCTTTACCTGCTACGCCACAGCGCCAGACCTGGAGTGGGTTAATCTTATGACTGTGTGAGCGGGTTTGTTCTTGTGACTGAGTTTTGGCCCGTCTTGCCTCCTTGTCTCTCACCCTCTGTAGCCATGTGCTGCCTTTGCCATGCATGAGCCTGGTCAGATGCTAGCACCACTCTCTTGGATTTCCCAGCCCTCAGGACTTTGAGCTAAATAAACTCCTATTGTTTATAAATGTCTCAGTCGTTGTTATTCTGGTATAGCAGCAGGAGACTGACAGACACTCCCCTAGTTCTCTGCTCCTCCTTCTTGGATTCCACAGTGGTGTTTTTCAAGCCTCTATTGTGGATGGGCTCTTACTTTATTTCTACTCTCCGCTTCCTCCCTAGACTGTTTCATCCACTTTACTTTCGTGGCTTCAATCATTATCCATACACTGACAACTTGCAAATATTTTCCTCGAGCTCAGAACTTTTATCTTGTTTTGCAAGCCCGTATGTATATTGTACCAGTTTCGTGATCTCTTATCCATTTGTTTAATGGGTACTGAAATTCGAGTATATTCCAGCCATGCTTTAACTATTGAGGACGCCATATTGAACATAACAAGCTTGATTTCTGCTCACACCAAGCTTACATCCTGGGTGGAATTAGATTGGAGAGACAGATGGAAACAGTTGAGTTGCAGGATAATTTCAGAGACTAAAAAGACATTTGAAGAAAATAAAACAAGGTATGAGGATGTGAATAAGTCTTATAGGTAGAAAAGATTTTTCTGAGGAGATATCATTTAGGTTTAAATGTGAATGATGAGGCTGGCGCCGTGGCTCAGTAGGCTAATCCTCCACCTAGCAGCGCCGGCACACCGGGTTCTAGTCCCAGACGGGGCGCCGGATTCTGTCCCGGTTGCCCCTCTTCCAGGCCAGCTCTCTGCTGTGGCCAGGGAGTGCAGTGGAGGATGGCCCAAGTGCTTGGGCCCTGCACCCCATGGGAGACCAGGAGAAGCACCTGGCTCCTGGCTTCGGATCAGCGCGGTGCACCGGCTGCAGCGCACCAGCCGCGGCAGCCATTGGAGGGTGAACCAACGGCAAAGGAAGACCTTTCTCTCTGTCTCCCTCTCTCACTGTCCACTCTGCCTGTCAAAAAAAAGATGTGAATGATAAGAACCAGTTGTGCAAAGTCCTGGACTAGATTTGTCCAGGGCAAGGGAAGCAGGCTTAGAATGCTTAGGAGGTAGCTCTGGTGGGGCACAGGAAGTGCTGGCTTGAACCATTCCCCGAAGGTCATGTGTTGGAAACGTAATCCCCTAATTCAGATGTTTCTTGTGTTTGGAGGTGAGAACTTTACAAGGTGACTGAAATGTGTTCTTCCGTTCATGGATTAATGGGTTAGTGGCGTATGAGGAAATGGCTTTGTTATGAAAGGAGCTCTCTCTGGCAGCTTGTCATCTTGCCACCACGTGATGCTCTCCATCGTGTAATGATGCAGCAAGAAGGCCCTGGCCTGATGCTGCGCGAAGGCCAAGGCCATGTCTTAGACCTCCCAGCCTCTAGAACAAGGAGCTAAGTCAACCCCTTTGCTTTAGAAGTTAACCAATTTCAGGTATTTTATGACAACAGAAAATTGGCTAAGACTGCAAGCAAGAAGAGAAATGGGAGAAGAGGTGGTGACAGTTGGAGAGGTCTTCTGTCTGCATTCCAGCCTCAGATGTCAGCCAGGCCAGGGGAATCGCCCTTTCACACCCTCAGAGCACTTCATTTGTATTTCTCTTCTTGCCCTCAGCCCAGTTTGCTGTGCTGTGGTTTGTTGGTTATGCATTTTGTGAGTTCTTTTTGGAGGACCAAATGACTACAGCTACTTCCGACTTCTGAGGTCACTATGGGAGGTCTTAAAGAAACACTGGCAGAGACACAAGCATTGGAACACATGACAATTGTTATCTGCTTGTTTATGAGATTCACTGAAGAATCTTCTTTCTCTGTACCCACCCAGAAAATGAAAACACGGGGCTGGTGCTGTGGCACAGCCGGTTAACGACCTGGCCTGAAGTACTGGCATCCCATATGGGTGCTGGTTCTAGTCCCGGTTGCTCCTATTCTGATCTAGCTTTCTGCTATGGCCTGAGATAGCAGTGGAAGATGGCCCAGGGCCTTGAGTCCCTGCACCCCTGTGGGAGACCCGGAAGAAGCTCCTGGCTCCTGACTTTGGATTGGCGCAGCTCTGGCCGTTGAGGCCATCTGGGGAGTGAACCAGCAGATGGAAGACCTCTCTCTCTCTCTCTTTTTCAATCCTTTAAATAAATAAAATAAATATTTTTAAAAAATTCCTGGAAATGAATTGAGATGAAAATAAAATATCAAAATTTATGGGATCAGCAAAAACAGTAACAAGGGGGAATTTTGTGATAAATAGTGTCTACATTAAGAAATTGTAAATACACCAAATAAATGAGCTATCAATCCACCTCAAATTACCACAACAAACCAAATCCAAAATTAGTACTAGGAGGAAAGAAATAGTGAAAATTAGAGAGGAAATAAACAAATTGAAATAAAAAATACAAAAGATCAGGGAAATGAAGAGCTATTTTTTTTTAAAATACAACCAAAATTGATACACCATTAGCCCACTAAACAAAAAGGAGGGAGAAGAACCAAATCAATAAAGTCAGAGATGAAAAAGGAAATGTAACAACAGACACTAAAGGAAAAAAAGAATCATCTGGAATTACTACAAAGAGCTGTATGCCACCACATTGAGAAACTTAGAAAAAACGGATAGATTTCTGGACACATACAATCTACCAAAATTGGTTCAGGAAAACATACAAAACCAAAACAGACCAATAAACAAGAAAGAAATTGAACCTGTTGAAATCCTTGCTTAGTATATACTAAGTTGATCTTCTGTATATGAAGGTAATTGAAAATGAAACTCGATGAAGGGCGGGATGGATTACAGTAGCTTCCCCCCCCACCATAACTTCCCTCCCACCCACAACACTCCACTCTCCTACTCCCTCTCCCCTTCCATTCACATCAAGATTAATTTTCAATTATCTTTATATACAGAAGATCAATTTAGCATATATTAGGTAAAAATTTCAACAGTTTGTACTCACACAGAAACACAAAGTGTAAAATACTATTTGAGTACTAGTTATAGCATTAATTAAACACCTAAGAGTAATTGTGTATTAATTACAGAGTTCAACCAATAGTTTTAAGTAGAACATAAAAAATACTAAAAGGGTAAAGTATTAAGTTCTTTTTTTTCTGTTTCTTTTTGTTTGTTTTTTTTTATATAGTTTTTTTATTTAATAAATGTGAATTTACAAAGTGCAACTTTTGTATTGTTGTGGCTTCCCCTCCCCCCAACCTCCCTTCCTCCCGTGGCCCTCCCCTCTCCCACCCCCTTCTCCCATCCCACCCTTCATTGAGTTTCATTTTCAATTACCTTCATATACTGAGATCAACTTAGTATATACTAAGCAAGGATTTCAACAGGCTGCACTCACACAACCGCATAAGGTATAGGGTATTGTTCGACTAGTAGTGTTGTTTTTAAGTTTCATAGTAGAACACATTAAGGACAGAGATCCTACGTGGGGAGCATGTACCCAGTGACTCCCGTTGTTGATTAACAGTTGGCACTCTTATTTATGACGTCAGCAATCACCCGAGACTCTTGCTATGAGCTGTCTAGGCTATGGAAGCCCCTTGAGTTCACCGACTCTGAACTTGTTTAGTCAAGGCCGTATCACAGTGGAGGTTCCTTCCTCCCTTCAGAGAAAGGCGCCTCCCTTCTTGATGGCCTGTTCCTTCTGCTGGGGTCTTATTCACCAAGATCTTTCATTTAGATTGTTTTTTGCCACCGTGTCATGGCTTTCCATGCCTGTGAGACTCTCATGGACCTTTTAGCCAGATCCGAATGTCCCAAGGGTTGATTCTGAGGCAGGAGTGCTGCCATTCTATGAGTTTGCTGTGTGTCCTGCTTCCCCTGCAGGATCCTTCTCTCCCTTTTAATTCTATCCTTCATTGTTTGCTTACACTGGTCTTATTTGTGAAATCTCATCGACACATACCCTATCTTTTTTTGATCGGTTGTGTATTTATACTTATCACTTTACCAAGTGCACTGGCATTGGTACCTGCCTCCTTGGTAAGATTGAGTTGAAATCCCCTGGCACATTTCTAGTTCCACCATTGGAGGTAAGTCCCTCCCGAGGGAGGGAGGTTGTGGGGGGAGCCACAACAATACAAAAGTTGCACTTTGTAAATTCACATTCATTAAATAAAAAAAAAACTGGAAAAGAAAAAAAATTCATATGGAAACACAAGAGACCCCAAATAACTAAAGCAATCTTATACAACAAAAACAAAGACCAAGGCATTACAATACCAATTGTCAGAGACACTATGGACAATTATAATTAAAACAGGTTTGTACTGCCTGAAAAACAGATGGATAGATCAATGGAATAGAATAGAAACTCCAGAAATCAATCCACACACATACAACCAACTTATCTTTGACAAAGGAGCTAAAACCAATCCCTGGAGAAAAGATAGTCTCTTCAACAAATGGCGCTGGCAAAACTGGATCTCCACATGCAGAAGTATGAAACAAGAACTTACATAAAAATCTTATACCTTACATAAAAATCCTTACACCTTACATAAAAGTCCACTCAAAATGGATCAAATACTTAAATCTATGACCTGATACCATCAAATTACTAGAGAACTTAGGGAAACTTTCCAAGGCTGTGGCATCAGCAAAGACTTCTTGGAAAAGACCCCAGAAGCACAGGCAATCAAAACTTTTAAAATGGACAAATGGGATTACTTCAAGCTGAGAAGCTTCTGCACTACAAAGGAAACACTCAGCAGAGTGAAGAGGCAACTAACAGAATGGGAGAAAATATTTGCAAACTATGCAACTGATAAAAGATTAATATCCAGAATATAAAAAACTCAAGAAACTCAACAACAACAAAACGAACCATCCAGTTAAGAAATGGGCAAAGGACTTGAACAGGCATTTTTCAAGAGAGGAAATTCAAATGGCCAACAGACATAAAAAAATGTGCAGGATCACTAACCATCAGGGAAATGTAAATCAAAACCACAATGAGGTTTCACCTCACTCCAGTTAGAATGGATCTCATTCAGAAATCAGCAAACAATAAATGCTTTCTCTCTCTGGGCCTCTGCCTCTCTGTAAATCTGTCTTTTAAATAAATTAAAAAATTCTTAAACAACAAAAAATGTCAAGGAACATGTAACAGGCATTTAGCCTGGTGATTAAGAATCCAGCGCCCCATGTCAAGGTACCTGAGTTAAATTCCTGGCTCCAGCTCCTGACTCCAGCTTCCTGCCAATGCAGATCCTGGGAGACAGTAGTGATGGCTCAAGTAATTAGATTCCTGTAATCTATTTCACAGAGAGACCTGATGGAGACCTGGCTAGTTTTCCCAGCTCCCACTTCAGGCTAGCCTAGCCCCAGACATTGCAGGCATTTTAAATATTTATCTACCTACCTACCTACCTATCTATCATGTATATATATAATAAACAAATACAATAAAAAAAAATTCAGGGCCAGCATTGTGGTATAGTAGGTTAAGCCTCCACCTGCAGCCCAGCCATCCCATATGTATACCAGTTTGAGTCCCAGCTACTCCTATTCTGATCCAGCTCCCTGCTAATGGTCTGGGAAAGCAGTGGAGGGTGGCCCAAGTCCTTGGGCCCCTGAACCCATGTGGCAGACTTGGAAGAAGCACCTGGCTCCTGGCTTTGGATCAGCCCAGCTCCAGCCATTGCAGCCATTTGGGGAGTGAACCAGTGAATGGAAGAACTCTGTCTCTCTCTCTGTCTCTCCCTCTCTCTGTCTGTAACTCTATCTCTCAAAGAAATAAAGAAATATTTTTAAAAAAATCAGTAGTAGGAAAAAAATCTCTACTAGCTTTATATTAAAAAAAGAAAAGAATTCAAGGAACAGCAAAAACATATTTACTTACTCATTTTTTTTGACAGGCAGAGTGGACAGTGAGAGAGAGAGACAGAGAGAAAGGTCTTCCTTTTGCCGTTGGTTCACCCTCCAATGGCCACTGCGGCCAGCGCGCTGCGGCCGGCACACCATGCTGATCCGATGGCAGGAGCCAGGTACTTCTCCTGGTCTCCCATGGGGTGCAGGGCCCAAGCACTTGGGCCATCCTCCACTGCACTCCCTGGCCACAGCAGAGAGCTGACCTGGAAGAGGGGCAACCGGGACAGAATCCGGCGCCCCGACTGGGACTAGAACCTGGTGTGCTGGCGCCGCAAAGCAGAGGATTAGCCTAGTGAGCCACGGCGTCGGCCATATTTACTTACTCTTATCAGTAGCTTAAGAAAGGGTGTGTGGTTTACTGGAAGAGTTGTGGCACTTGACATCTGATAGACCTAGATTTGATCTTGACTGCTACTTTTAAAACTATGACTTTAGACAAGTTTCTAAAACTCATCAAATTCTAAACCCAGGGTTGGCATTGTGGCACAGTAGGTTAGACTGCTACTTGTGATCCTGGTATCTCATATTAGAGTGCTGGCTCAAGTCTAGGCTGCTCCACTGTCCAGCCAGCTCCATGCTCATGGACCTGGGACAGCAGCACAAGCTGGCCACTCATGTGGGAGCTCAGGATGGAGTTTCTGACTCCCCCCTGGCTTCAGCTGGGCCCAGACCTGGCTACTGTGGCCATTTGAGGACGGAAGATCTCTCAGGGAAGATCTCTCTCTCCCATTTTTTCCTCTGTTACTCTGCCTTTCATATAAATAAACCTTTTTAAAAAAATTCTAAATCTAAAATAGATTTAGAATATATATATATAATAGTATTTGAGAAGAACCTGACACTTTGCTCGACAAATATCTATCAATTGAATGGGCTAACAGTGTCACACCACAAAGTAGGAGTGATGTGTTGTGCTATAATGTCACTGGATGGTAGGAATTTATCAGCTCCTTTATCATTGTACATACATTGTCAATTGTTGACCAAAATGTCATTAGGCAGCAAGTGACTATATAAAAACTGTCATATTTATTATATATGAGTATATTTCCAATATATAATTATGATCACTGTCATCATTTTATGAACCTCAGAATAAACAAATCACAATACAATCAAAGAAAGTAAAAAAAATTGAGTGTCTGCTATATTCAATGTCAATTTTGACATTGATTGAAAATTATACTTTCCTGTTATTAATTA